CTCTGCTGGTCCAACATCAGATCAGACTGTAGATGTTGTGGAGCCTGGGGGAGTGATGGTGAATGGAGAGGCTGGTTAATCTGGGAGTAAATGACAGGAAGAGACAATTCTTTAAAGAAGTAGAAAAGTTCAGTTGTTCCAGATAAAAAGCAGCCCCTCCCTAGGAATCAAAGAAAGACAAATACCGTTTTTCCCTCTGGGAAAGGCAACAATAGAAGAGACTGACAAGGCCAAATGTCTAAGAGAGGAATTCTAAGAGGGAGCAGAGGGCGGGCCACCTTCTGCCGCGTTTTTGATGGGAGTGGAAATTGGAGACCCGTGCTCACTGGTGACGTAGCTCTCACGTGACCGGGAGTCGACGTGTGCAGAAGTCCTGCTAGTCTGGCCCTTGTTCCCATCTGGGTACCAGCTCCCTTTTGCTGTGCAGGCGGCGGGGCCTGAGGCCAAGGAAAGGAGAAGCGAGTCAACTTGCCGGAATTGTGCAGGTTGGTATCAATATGGGAGCTGCCTGGGGATTCCTAGAGTGGGGACGGCCTAGGGCAAAGAATTGAGGGAGTCCAGGTCAAGTCTGTCTCTCCACTACCTACCTCCACGTCTGCATAGAATGACGACCCATGGGAAAGGGACTAGGATCCCAGGAGAAGGGCAAGGAAATCAGTGATAGTTTAAAAATAATAATTCACTCCCATCTCAGACAGCTTTCCCGACAACCCCCCGCCCAACACCCCGCTCCCTTTGCCTCAGTCTTAAAAGATAGTTTGGAAAAAATGTGATTTGCACTCTGTCTGAAGGGAATGCCAGCAAACTTGTACTGGGGAGAAGAGAGGGGATTAGGTGAAACAGAGGTGGGAAACTTTCATAACCTAGACCCAGGATGAGGGAAGGTACAAAAGTCCTGCCCTCGGTGCAGGTCGACCCACCAAGCGCTAGCGGTCCGCTCCCCGTCTCCCCCCTGTTTCCCATCTGTCTGCAGGTCTGCGGGTCTGTTGTTCCTTAGCACGACATAAAGCTAGAAACGGAGGAAAAACCTGACTGGATCAGGGAAGGTAGGTGAGAAGAGCATCATAAGGACCTCCGAAGTGGGCGAGGGCGAAGCAGAAGTTGCAGACCCCACTGCCCATCCCCCCCAGGCAACTATGTTCTGGGAGGGCCCCTGAAAAGCATGGAGGGAGGGACCAAAGAGGTGAGGAGGTGGAAAAGGGTGGGGGCAGGGAAGCCCCCCCCCCATCACTGACTTATCCTCCCAGGTAAAAGGTATTTGATAACAACTCTGAATCCAAAAAGCCTAATTCAGAGACCTCCATCTAGAACACTGATCCCGTTTACCAAGCCTTTGACTACCTGTCTCTTTCTTGCCTCCTAGGAGTAATTGTATTCCAAAAGGCATAAGTAGAAAGGAAGGGAGGGAGGCAAACAGACACAAGATGAAACCCTGTCAAAAAATTGAAGGAAAACCAGAGAATGAGAGTGAATCAACAGTTGAGGAAGAGCCAAAGCCTGAGGAAAAGCCAGAGGAGAAGGAAGAACCAGAGGAGGAGGAAGAAACAGAAGGAACTTTCAGAGAAAGGCTGATTCAGTCTCTCCAGGAATTTAAAGAAGATATACACAACAGGCATTTAAGCGAGGAAGATATGTTTAGAGAAGTGGATGAAATGGATGAGATCAGGAGAGTAAGAAACAAACTTATAGTGATGCGTTGGAAGGTTAATCGAAACCATCCTTATCCCTATTTAATGTAATTTGCCTTGATTTTTACTGATACTAAAATTGCCTTATAGCTTTCTTTTGATTTACATTTTCCTGATACACCTTTACCCATCTTCATAACTTGTTGGTGTTAGTGATTTTAGAAGCATCTTATTATCTGTATCTTATTGTTTATCATATTTTGAACCAATCTATAAGTCTCTATCTATTAATATAAGGGAACTTCATTCATTTGTGCAAAAAGGAGTTACTGATGGGATATAAAATGATTTTAAAAAGTCACTAAGTAATATGTGAGTATCATATTTTTGAAAGAAATGTACAAAGAGTACATTTGTATATCATATATATGCACATAAAAATGTCTGAAAGATGGAAGACAAAAATAGTAGTCTCTCAGTGGTGGGATAATGGGTTTTTTTTTTTTTTTTTTTTTCTTTCTTATTTGTATTTTTCCGTATTCCCAGAATGAACACCCATTATTGTTGTGAAAAAATAATAAAAGTTTTTAACAAAAATAATAAGCAACCAGCAGCACTTAACAGTTTATTTCTAAAGGCACTGGGGACACTTTAACATTTGTTGCCAGAATTTTAGAAGCAAATGTGAACCTTAAATTCCTACCATTTAGCTATTAAGAATAAATCTTGCTTCTCTTCTCATACATAAAATAGAGATAATAGTGATCTCACAGGACTGTTGTGGGGACCAAATGAGGTAATGACTATGAGCTAGGTTTCACAGGCTTTTGTCCCCACTTGCCTTAACTCTCTAGAGATTTATTTCAGCTAACTGGGAGGGTGAAGTAGTATTCCACTGTGCTTAAGGTAAAATCCAGGTAGCCATTAGGTGGGTAAACAAAACAAAACTCAATGCGGTAGAGGCAGATTTCCAAGGTGGTATCATTATAGAAGTAGATCACCCAATCTTCCTTCCAAGGAGTGGCTGGTGATTTGAACCGCCAGCCTTCTGGTTAGCAGTCAAATGCCTTAGGAACTACACTGCCTCTCCTGTTGTACTTCCCCATCCTCTTGTCTGCTTGGTCATGCTGGGTATTCGTGCCTCTTCTGCTAGGTCCTACATCCTCCAGGCCCCTACCACTACTGATGTACTGGAATCCTCAAGTACTTAGCCCAATATATTTCTTCAGAACCCTCAGGAAGCCAAATTCCTAGACCTACATAGGCTAGTGGCCAGGCTATCCTGGGCATATATATCTGAGGAAGGAGGACTTATCCCACTTTAGGTCAGAGAACTAGATGTATTTTATTTTTATTTTTTATTTTCCCTGTTATCCTTTCCAAGGTGATGTGATGGGGACTTTTTATAGAGACAAAGATAAGGCCTCAACATTCACTAATTAGAAACATTGGTCGTGGTAGTCTTTGTCCCAGCTGTGACTGCTCTCTATGTGATTAGATAACTTCGGGTTAAAGTAGAATGGCCTAGTAGTGTGGGGAGACAATTTTTAGATAGTACACAAATATTTCAAATTGTAATAGCTATCTATTTATTTGAATATGTATTAATGAATACTCACTTTTTAAAAGAAGATCATGGTAGTTTAGGGTGATATTATAAAGTCATTTTCAAAGAAAGTATTAAAATTAAATAAGTGAGTTAATTTGAAGAACATTAAATAGAACAAAATATTAATAGCATAGGTGGTACACAGATATGACAAAAATAATCCTGTGGGAAACATTGTCCTGGCATAATTGATTTAGGGATAATATCTGTTAGGAACTATGCAGAGTCTGAGATTTTACCCTACATACAAGATAACAGCCTGTTTTTTCATGAATGCTGGTAGAAGATTCTAGCCTTCTGGGTCAGACAAAAAACGTTATTACTCATGGCAAAAGCAGTAGCCAGCGCTTTGTGTTAGTTTATGTTGGTTCCCCATGACCCCCAATCACATGGCAACACAGTATATGACAGATGCCTACACATGTAATGGGTTCTGTCGCAGAAGGAATATGCTGAATTTTGGAGATTCACTGCTTTTATAATAAAGCAGAAACAAACTTTTTCTGTGTCCAGGGAGACTCAAGGTTGCTCACTGCAAACATAACTCTGAGAAATGCCTCAGGTGAACAGAGGTCAGGGCCTTGCATTCTTAACATACCCAACAAGAACATGCACAGCCCTTGAGGATTGCCTCTCCCAAGAGCACTATTTTCTCACTGCATTAACCCTAATATAAATGCCAAGCTTTGCCTAAAACCACAAATTTTGATTTCTAATTCCAAATTAGCTGCAGGAGATAATGAATTATACTGTAGGATGTAAACAGACCATTTGTTACTATTTCTACTTTTTACTTAAGAGAATTTTAATCGAATCCTAAGATTAGCTGAATGAAGAGTATCAACTAAGAAACTAAAGGTAAGCAATCTACAAGGGATTCTATAGTTACACTAAGACATAGGTACCATGACACCACAAAATAATAGGCAGAGGAGCAAAGCCAGTAGCCTCATCAGGTCTCTAAAGACAGGAGTAATTTCATGCAAAAATTTTCACTGGGAAGCTGACTGGAGAGTGTGTTTGAAAATCAGCCCCAGCTCCCATATGGATCTAATCACAACAGCCTTTGTTAAAGAAAAAAAAAAAAAAGTAAGCGCTAAGAGAAAAGCTGATCTGTTCTCTGCAAGGAAAGTTCAAGGTAGTGTGAGGGACAAGGGAGGGGAGCCTCACATACATATCAGCATCCAAGAGCAGTTATTTGATATCCTGACAACAGTGTTTTGCAAGAGCCTTTGCAAAAACAGCTGCATCCATCAGTTTTGTCAAAATAATTCTGCTTCCCTCTGAAATAGTATCTGCCAGAGAAAGTGGCATCCAGGCTGCCAAAGTGGCTAAAGATGCAGGCATCAGCTTGGGAAGTAAGTAAATAACTACAATGAAAATAAAAGAGCTCTGGTGGTGCAGTGGGTAAGGCATTTGGCTGCTAACCAGAAGGCTGGCAGCGCAAACTCACCAGTCACTTCGCAGGAGAAAGGTGAGGCAATCCACTTCTGTAAAGATTTACAGCCTTGGAAACCCTATGGGGGTTGCAATGAGTTAGAATTGACTTGATGGCAGTGGGTTTGATTTTTTGGTATGTAACAAGAGGAACCCTGGGACTGAGACTAACTTTTTACACTTAGTAACAAAGTTGATGAGACCATTCAGTGTGTCCAGGTTAATGGATGGAGCATGACTCTAGCAGCAAATTTTTTTTTAGTGAAGAATGAAAAGTAGGAAATAATAGGAATACACGAAGAGTAGGACAAAGACCCTGTGATAGGAGTATGGCAATGATCAAAAAAACATCAAGGAAGCCATAGTGGCTGGTGCAGATTGAGCTATCAGGAGAGTAGTGGGAGATTGATATGAAAGAGGTTACAAAGAGGGGGTGGAGTGGTACAGGTGTAACAAGGTCTGTTAGGCCATCCTAAAGACTTTGGCTTTAACCTTTAGTGAGATTCATTCCTTTTGTGAAAGTTCTCCAGGCTTACATGATAAAACATTGTCTTGGTTTTTCATCATCTTGTCCATTTACTGACACTTTCGCCTTTATTTCATCTTTAAATGTTTGGGCTCCTCAGATTTTGATACTGGGCACTTTTTTACTTTTTTTTGTTGTTTTGTTTTACATCTCTCTTTAAGTATTTGTATTTAGTTCCAAGATTCAATATCATCTATATGCCAATTCCTCTCTCTTCTAATTCTCCAACCTTTACCTCTCCCATGAATTCAAAATACATATATTGAACCTCCACCTTGATCTATATCCACCCAGATTTCTATTAATATCTACTTCAAATGTAACATTTCAAAACAGGAGTTTTGATTTTTTTTCTGAAACCTGCTTATCCTCCAATCTTCTCCATCTTAAATGGTCCCACCAACTATGTAGTTGCTCAAGCCAAATACTTAAGAGTGATTGTGATCTTTGTGTGTGTGTATGTGTTATTTGGGTGAAAGTTACAGAGCAAACTCGTTCTCTATACAACAGTTCATAAACATTTTGTTTCATGACATTGATTGCAATCTCCATAATGTAACAGCTTTCTTCTCAGTTCCTCCCTCTGGTTACCCTTTCCCTGTGTCCTTTCCTACACATTCCTGCCCTCTGAGCTATCTCCCTGTGCAGATACTGTCCTTCTGGTCTCCCATGGTTGATTGTTCTAAGAAGTGTACATACCTGGTGTAAATATTCACCCTATATGCCTGTCTATTTTTCAGCTGGAAACCACAGGAGTGAGTTCAACTCCAGACCTGAAGGGTGAGTAGGGCTCATAATCTTGGGGGTTTCATCCGTCCTTAAGAGTGATCTTTGCATCTTCTATTTTTCTTTGTCCTGCACATCCTATCCATGAAGAGAACCTCTGGATTATACCATCACAAGATATCTATTCACTTCTCACCGTCTCCACCACTGCAGTCCTAATCCAAGCCACCATCATCTCTTGGATGACCTACTTGGCCTACAATAACAATCTACAAACCAGTGCCCTTGCTTCTAATCTTGCCCCTCTCCAGTTTCAGCTCCACAGCAGCCATTAATACCTAAGTCAGATCATGTCATTCCCCTGCCCAGAATCCTCAAATGGCCCTCATCTTATTCAGAGTAGAAGACAAAATCCTTACAATGGCCTATAAGGTCCTGCATGATCCAGCTGCTCATTTACCTTTCACACTGAATCTTCTACCACTTTCCTTTGCTCACTCCTCACCACTTACTTATTTGTTGTCCTCAAACACTTCAAGCTCTTTCCTACCTTAAGGAAGGCCTTTGTACTTCTTATTCTAGCTCTAACCAAAAGTTGGCAGTTGAGTCCACTCAGGAACTTCAGCAGGTTTCCAAAAAGGCAGCCATTGAAATCCCTGTGAAGCATAGTTCTCCTCTGACACACATGGGGTTGCCATGAGTTGGGGTCGACTGAATGCAACTGATACTAAGTAAGTAATTCCCTCTACCTAGAATAATGATCTTGTTTAGCTGAACCTTTCATGTGAGTTAGGTTTAGCAAAAATGTCATCT